GGAAAAGTGTCTGGTGGTGCACAGTGGCACTGTCTGCACAGAGCCCTGGTCCAAGTGCCCATGCCATGGCTGATGGATGCACAAGAATTTGAGGCTGGGGAAGAGCTATAATTACATTTCTGTGACAGTAATTACGTGTATTTCACACAGTTCAGCTGTGTCACGTGGCACAATAGGTGCTGTGAAGAATACTCATTTGTTAAGTAATTTATTGCATAATAATTAACAGCTAATCACTTGTGAGTTAAGATGCTCTGGGAACAGACCCAATTCACAGTCTGTGCTGCCTCCTTCCAGGAAATATGACTATTTAGAGAGTGCTCCTCACTCCCCAAAAGCCTCCATCTCTGCAGAGTCCCTGCTTGCATGCACAGACATCTGCAGGGGATCACTGCATGTGTGGCAGCAGCTCCAGCAGAGAAATCAGACTCTCAGGGGATATCCACAGGGTAGGCAGGGAGCTGCAGCTGCACCCCCTGGGATGGAGAACAGCTTTTAGACCAGGCTAGAAGAAAAGTGACAGCTCTAGGCCTCATTTCTCTGTTCTGCCTCATGAATTTGAAGTTGTCGCAGATATATCTCCACTTAATCACAGTCACATACTTGAGGGAGTATCACTCAGCCAGTCAACAAAATACTGCTACGACCTTCTGCACTTGAGCTGATAGGGCGAACCCCACTTTCTCCAGGGGTGATTGCCCCTGGTTATATTACAGCTTAATGCCATTCAAACCGTTCAGCATGAAGCCACCCTCCCACATTTTCACTCTAGTATCCTCCTAAATGCACTACTTCCCACAAGGACATCTGAGCCTCTTGAGGTCTCCCTCAGCATGACAAGGACCTCAGCAATACACCAGCCTCTACCAGCTGGCAGAGAGTGATGGGCAGCAAAGACACACAAGTGGCATCCCAATGGGCTGTGATCCCCACATCCCTTTCCCAGCTCTCTGCTTGTTGTAGGAAAGAAAACCCAACTTATGTCCAGCATCTCCCCTCACAGTGATTGTCACCACACTTTATTTGTTGCTTTTACTATTCAGGTTAAGGTACCAGCCATGGTCACCACAGATTGAATGAGGCATCTCCCATTTTTCTTGGCTTTTCTGATGAAGTAGGTGCAAATAGAATGAGGGTGTCCCACAAGGAAGTGCCTCCATATCTTCTGCCCTAGCTTGACGGTTCATGTCCAAGTGCTCTGGGACCAGATGAGATTTGCCCTGCATGCTTCAAAATCCAGGGAAAAAACAGTCAGATGAACTTGAAGGATTTGGGGAGAATGTGTTCAACCAGGCTGAGTAAATGTCTTCTCAAAAAAACCCAAATATCAGCTGATGTACAAATACTGTTCTTCACCTGCAGTTTCTAGGGCATGTCCCAATCTCCAAGTAAATCCTGGACTCTCTGAAACCTCTGCACACACCTCAGTCACACAGCAATAATGCATGAGAGAACAGTTCCTACTGAAAAGAAAAAAATCATTTGTGGTGGCCCATAAATCACCAGAGTGTGTCATTTCATATGGCCAAGGGCTGTGAGCAAGCAGAGCGCTGCACAGCGAGGTGACAAATTCATTTTCCATGTCAGAAGCAGCAGAGCTTCCAGTCAATCTCTGAGCAAATTCGGATTTACAGATCCAGCAGATTTGTCTTGTTTTATTGTCTATTAATTCAATCCACAGCAGATGTGAGAGAAAAGCAGATGTCAGTACCCTGACCTGTAGCAGAGGAGAGGAAGTTTGGGACAGAGTGCCTGCTCAGCAAGTTCAGTGGTGCCAGGAAGGTGGGAGCAGTGGCCGATACCCCAGAGGGCTCAGAGCCCTTCAGAGGGACCTCCACAGCCTGGAGAGATGGGCAGGGAAGAACCTCCTGGAACTCAACAGGGGCAAGTGCAGGGTCCTGCCCCTGGGGAGGAACAGCCCCAGGCACCAGCACAGGCTGGGGTGAGCTGCTGGGCAGCAGCTCTGCACAGAAGGAGCTGGGGGTGCTGCTGGACAACGAGCTGTCCATGGGCCAGCCGTGCCCTGGGGGACAAGGAGGCCAAGGGGACCCTGGGCTGCATTGGGAGCTGCATTGCCAGCAGGTCAGGGAGGAGATCCTGCCCCTCTGCTCAGCCCTGGGGAGGCCAGTCTGGAGTGCTGTGCCCACTTCTGGGATCCTCAGGACATGAGAGACGTGGAGCTCCTGGAGAGGGTCCAGCAGAGAGTGACAAAGTTGATGAAGGGACTGGAGCACCTCAGTTGTGAGGAGAGGCTGGGGGAGCTGGGCCTGCTCAGCCTGGAGAAGAGACCCTGAGAGGAACCTCACCAATGTCTGCCAGTGCCTGCAGGGAGGGGCCAGAGCATGGACCAGGCTCTGCTCAGCAGGGCTGGGCAATGGGACAAGAGGCAGTGGGACAATGGGGCAGGAGCTGAGGCTCAGGAAGTTCCTCCTGAGCATGAGGAAGAACTTCCCTGTGCAGTGCCCGAGCACTGGGACAGATTGCCCAGAGGTGGTGGAGTCTCCCTCACTGGGGATATTCAAGAACCATCTGGACACCCTCCTGTGCCATGTGCTCTGGGATGGCCCTGCCTGAGCAGGGAGGTTGGAGCAGATGACCTTCCAGCCTGGCCCATCCTGGGATTCTGGGATGTCAGCCCTTCTCAATTCAACTGGGAGAGCAGGAAAGGAGGAATGGGCTGTTGTTAAAGCCAGCCTAGAGTTCACAAGGCAAAACAGTTTCTTTAGACATAGTGGAAAACAAAAGCAACGCTATTTGGGACTGAAAAGGTGGATTTTTATAACAGGGGAAACCCCTGCTAACTACTGCTCACAATGGGCTTGGCCCCTGTTTCTGTCCTGCTGTTTCACACACAGATCACACACATACCTTGGGTGTTTCCAGTAAAAGGCTGACATTTCTCCCAGGCACAGCCATGAGGGGCAGGTGCTGTCACTTCACGCCAGATAAGAGGAGGGCAGCATGCCATCCCCACCTCCTGCATGCATCCAGAGCCCAGATGGGTTTGGCTGCAGAAAGCCCTGCCCAGGCACATCCCTCCAGGCTTTCCTTTATGCCCTGTGCATCAGCAGGACATTGTCTGGATGAAAGATGCAGGGAAAGGTGATCCAATGGGAGCATCATCCATGGGTTACAGAGCAGACTACAGCTATACTAAAGGAGCTGGCTTCCAACAGGGGAGCACAGTGTGAGGCTCACCTTGCTCCTGGAAAAGCTGGGAAGAAAGCAGAAGCATCCATTTGCTTATCAGTTGCTTGGCTTTGGGATCCAAACCTTACCTGGCTGGGAGAGAGAAGAGTTAGCAACCTGAAGAGCCCCCAAGGCCCCTTTGTGGATCCAAGAAGGGAAAAGGGGAGATGGTGACTGACCAAATCCAAAGCCAATATAATGACAGTATTATTTTAGCCCCTACTGCTTTTCTTTGATCTCAGTGAGGAAACAAGCACACTCTGTGCAAACACATTAATGGTTTCCTTCTCCTTACAATGGAAAATTACACCCACTTACCTGCCTCCCAGGGAGATGTTTGCATTTAATTCTCTGCTATTTACTAAATACTTTGAAAACCATGCATAGAAAATGGTTGGTAAGAGGTGATTGCTCCATGTATGTCAAAGGAAGCAATGATCAGGGTGTCTTCGGGAGATCCATTTTTCTCTGTTTCACTACACCAAACCAGATGGCACCAGTGCTGAAGTGAGCTGCTTTTGGGGGAGCATGTGCAGGGAGGCACCAGCTCTGCCTCGCCTGTCTCTGCAGGCAGCAGAGCCCCATCAGCGGCAGCTAATTTGGCTGGCAGCTAATTTGGATGAGCCTGTCATGGGAGAGCAGCACGGCCACGCCTCGCCAGAGGGGCCCGGAGGATGTTTGTTCTTTGTCACCTCAGCGCAAACACCTGATTCTGACAACACTGGCACTTACAGTGCCCCAATCTGCGCTGAATCAATCCTTTGGCAAATCCCCCCCATACTGCAAATGTTGCTTCTTCAGCAATCCAACAGCTGAGATAAAGGAACTACCCCTTTCTTTTTTTCTTGCTTGTTTTGGTTTGGTTTTGGTTTTTTTTGAGGGGTTTCGTTTGTTGTGTGTGTTTTGTTTTTTTTGTCGTTTGGGCGCTTTTTTTTTTTTTTTTTTTTGGGGGGGGGGGGTGGAGGAGTATGGAAGCAAATTTTCCTAGGGAAACACCCCAGGTCCCCTTTTGACTCATTCACCAGTATCCTCACATGCAGAGAGTCACAGCCCCTTCTAAGCCGACCGTGCAGAGCAAACCCTGAGCTGGGCATATCCCTGTGCAATCCTGCTCCCTTCAGCCCACACACCTCCGGCCCATCCAGGCCAAAGGGCGCCGGGACACCCCCCCGAGCGGCCCTGCCGGAGCTGGGAGCCGCAGCCCGGCCGTGCCCAGCTCTGGGAGCATCTCCCGGGCGGCTGCAGGCAGCCCCGTCCCGGGCTTTTGGTGGCAGACAGCTCCCTCCAGTGGGGCATCTGCCGCCGCTCCATGCTCGCTTCTTCCCGGGGAAAAAAAGAGGATTGAAACCCCCTTAAAGAAAAAGACAGAGAAGTTACCAGGCTCCAGCTGCAGGACAAGCTGGGAAAGGCAGCTGTGCTTCACATCCGGCCAGGACGACGTGGTGGTGGGGATGGTGCAGGCAGCATCCAAAAATGCCACAAGCACCAAAAATGCCACCAAGCACCAAAAATGCTGTCCCCATCACTCAGTGAGTGGGAATGCACCTGCCATAACCTGACCAGGTTTCTCACCAAAATTTTAAGTCAAGTTCTGGAGATGCTTCTCAGCCAGGCTGGAAGAAATACCCCACAGATCCTCAGGTCATGCCAGGGCTTCCCACAGAGCTCTGGCCTTAGGGGCAGGAGAAAGCAGGCAGCACTGAGCAGGATGCAGAAATATTTTTAATTTCATATTAAGAACCAAAACATCTTATTTCCTTTTTTTTCTTAAAAAAAAGTTTTAAATTTTCTTGTGTAACTCTCGAGTAGGAAAAATCAGCAGACGCACAGCAGCGTGAAGCAAACATTTTGTTCCCCAAGCTGAGCAAGCATTAAAAAAATTAAGCTACAACATGGGGAACACTGTTGTAGGATATTCATGGTCCATAAAACACAGCAGAAGGGTTGGCACAGCCGGCAGAAACCCGGGGAAATGCAGGAGTGACTGCACAGGCCTCGGAGGCCCGGGCCCCCTCAGAGTGGGGGAGGCTGCTCTGGGGAGCGCTGTCCCGCCTGGCCAGGGTGGGCCCGGACACTCCAGAGCCACTCGGGGGCCCTGGCCCGCAGCTTCAGCTGGAAGGGGTCGAGCTGCAGGCACTCCCCCAGGGCGTGCAGCTCCATGGCTGGCTCCTCCACGGCCCTCACCGGTGGCTCCTCAGGCCTTGGGCTCCTCCTGGGGGCCTGTCCCCACAGGGCCGTGACACAGAGGGCACCAAAGGCCACCAGCAGCACCAGGCCGGTCACCAGGGCTGCCCCCACCAGCATGTCAGCGTGGCGGAGGAAGGTGCTGATCCCTGCAAGAGAAAAGCCACGGGCTCATCCCAGTGCCCACTGCCCCAGGGACCCCACTGTGCTCACAAAATGTCCCACACATCTCCTCCGGGAAATTCAGCATGGCCCCTGCCGCCCTCCAGGACCCTCGTGTCTGCCTCTAGGCCAGAGCACATCTCCCAAACCTCCATCCCAGGGAAATACTTAGACCAGGAGCCTGGAGCAGCACAAGGATGATGATACCCAGAAGAAACCTAACAGAACAAAGCCATTGCCAAAGCCACGTGCAGCTACACGGAGATTAAAAGGTCTGCTGCTGTTCCCATCCAGGCCTGGAGGGACCCTCCCGATGGCCCAACAGATTAAGATGGATTTATAAAATTACCTGTGTCAGAATATAACAATAACCAGCTGATCTGTACAGGCTTAGACTGCTCAAGTTGTTAATTAACTTGAAGTTGGTAGGAAGAGCGAGAAATTATATTTGGCTATGAGCTCACATTAAGGTTTAAACCACTGCAGCAGCATTTAAGTAGTTTTGGTAAAGCAGCCACAGTGTTTGGAGCACATATTGCAGAATACTGCCGTTTTCCAGCCTGTGAAGCTCCATTACTCTGCAATTGGATTGGATTAGCCACCACTGATTATAGTCAAGCACCACATGCCATCTGCTCAGCCTTGTGTCAGAGCTGGGGCAAACACCAGGAACATCACTGTCCGTGTCATCAAGATCTACACAGGGTGACAGGAGTCACCCCCAGGAGTCACAGGGTTTGCTGATCACATCAGTTACAGCAGAGGTAGCTCATAAATCACCCCCAATCTATGCTTATAACTTAAGGGCTCACATGTGCCAGGCTGTAGCCCGGATGCAGAGAAAGCAGCAGACGGGGGGAAGGGAGCCTAAGGCTCATGGAGAGGTTCTATTCCCAGCCGGGAACTGCCTTGCAAAGGCATTCCACATCCTCGCCACACCAGGCAGGGACATCTAAAGCCACCAGTCACAACACACATCAGCAGAGGTGCAGGACCCCGGCTGGGAGAGAGCCCCTGTGCTCCCTCACTCAGGCCAGGAAAGCCCCAGACCGCGAGGGGGAGCAGAGCCGCAGTGCCATCCTCTACCTGCTCGGGGAGTGCGGATGCAGAGCGTGCCGGACTTGCTGGGAGAATGGTCCTCGTAGTCCTTCTTGCAGCGGCACAGGTAAGTGCCCACGCCATTGAAGCACTCCGCCTCCTCGCCACAGAGGCCAAGCCCAGCCTGGCACTCGTTCACATCTGTAATGGGGAATAGATGCCCTAAGTCAAGTCAGGTTTGGCATTAAAGGGTTTATCCCAGGAAAAAAAAAATTAAAAAAATAAGTGAAGCACCCACCTTCAACGAAGAGTGAAACAAGCTGCAACTTCTCCACAGCCACCGAGGTGCCAAGGACCTCCTCCAGCTGTGAGCGCAGGAGCAGAGACACGTTCCTCTCCTCTGGCTCCAGGTGCAGCCAGAAGGTGAGCAGCAGGTTGGCATCCTTCGTCCTGTGGGCAGGAGAGAGTCCAGGGTGAGTCAGGAGGAAAAAAAACATCACTGCAGGCCCAGCTCTGACGGCCCATCTAGACCTTCTGCCCTTGGCATGGGATCGTGGTGCTGCAGGCTCTTGCACAGATGATCTGTGCCAAGAGGCACCTTTGCACTTGGACCATGGGAAAAAGGAAAGCCCAGGAGTGGCTCCTCATCTGGAGCTAGGCTGAAATGACCAGATATTTGTACAAAGTGAATTGTAGTAGCAATCTGCATTCCCAGATCAGCCTCTGCTGACAGCTCCCAGCTTTCTCCAGCAGCAGGCACTGTGGCAGGTGAGATTATCCTCCTTTTCATCCACAGTTTAAATTCATTTTATAGCTATATATAGGCCCCAGATAATACTAAACACCATTTTTCACCATCTTTTCTCTAGAAAACAATTTTTTTTTCTACTTTCAGGACAAGTTACAGATCAAGGAAGAAGAACAAAGACATGTCTCTTCCTGGGGAAGGAGAGTGAGAAGCCAAGACACTGCTAATCCAAGAAATATTACAGGTTATATCAGTCACCTGCCAAGCCAGCAGCACAGCATTAACCCTACCTTTTGACATCCCTTAACTTTATTTCACTGACTCTGTTGGCAGAAAGCTTCAGGTTCTTCTGGATCTGCAGAGGAACAGAGTGACCAGTACTGATTTGATGTTCAGCCAGTAGGATTATGACAGGAAACACCTTCTTTTCTCACTGTAGCACCCCATCCTGCTCTCCCCCTTCACAAACAAAGAGAATGTTCCATAGCCCACTGCTCTGAGCCCTTTCTTTAGAAGAATACCCATTGTTCCCATTTGCTTAGGTCCAGGTCACCTCCCCCAAACACAAAAGCATGAAATGGTCTCTTCTGCATGAAGATTTGGGACATCCCATCTGTTCTTCTCCACCTCCCCATGCCCACACTTACGTGATTCTTCAGAGATTCAAGGAGACCCTTTTGGAACTCACTCCCACTGTAAGGAATCCAGTCCTTGGGTTTGATTTCAACACTGACTTCAAACAGCACATCTGCCAGAAGACACAAGGATCATGGCATGTTCGACTGCACATAAGACAAACAGGCTCCCATATTGAGTTAGTCTTTGAGCATCAACACTAGAACAGCACCTTCTTGTGCAGGTCAGTGCCACAGGGGCATTTCCAGGGGCTGTACATCAGGTAGGACAAATTGCTGAGTAACAAGCGAACACAAACCTTAGTTAATGCTTGTTGATGAATATTAGAATTGATCTTTCAGTGAAAAACTGACACAAAGCAACATATCCAATACATATCCAATCACATTCACATGCCTTTAGCCCTTCTGTTTCCCAAAGGGATTGTCATAATTATTGATGGAGTCTAAAAGCCAGTTTCTCTTGAAATCCAGACTGGCACAGATTTGCCAGTTGGCTGTTTAAGACCTATTTGTTCATCAATATTTCCCTTGTTCAGAGCTGAGGCTCCTTCTGTATGGACTCCTTTGTGCAAGATGTTTCTGTGCCTTGCTGGGCCATACAAACCCTGCATTTACATTGTTTAGTTGCTCTCCCATAAGAGGGTTTTCCTTCTCTCCCTGGCCTGAGGAGCAGGATTTCTGCACATTTCTGATCCTGGTAGTCATGGGACATCCATTGGAATACACTGGAGGAATTAAGGTTCATTTATCTTAGAAAAAACTTCTATAAATAGCCAACAAGTATAGCTTGGGCTCGAACAAGCCAGCATGTATGTCAGGGCTGGCACCCAAACTCGGGTTTCTCCAGGGGAGACACACAAAGTGGCCAAAGCACAACTGCAGGATTGCAGTGACATCTTGAAAAATAGCATCTTCAGAGTGGTTACTACTCAGAAACAGCTCCCATTGCTTTCAAAATGTAACAAGCAGGTGATGTCCAGCACAGCCTCAGGCAGCTCCCTGGGCTTAGGGCAGTATTTTAAGGCATGCTTAACTCTGCATGGCTCACCTCCAGGATGGTGCTGGGATTGCAGTCCTGTGTCATTCCCCACAGATGACATCAGATCTGTCAAAGCAAGGGAAAGCATCAGGCTGCTATCACTGATGTACCAGTAATGGGGAGGGAAGGTACATTAGGTCTATGCCACTTTGCAAAAAGAGTGTCATGTGCCAATTCCTGCCTCTGTTCTTCATACTGAAATTAAATGTCAGGCTCTGAAGACAATCTCTTCTCCTCTACAGTGGAAAGTGCTCTTTAGAAAGAAATTACCCCAATAAACCTCATTTCCATTTCTGGAAGCAGACAAACTCTTATCCCTGTAAAACCTCCAGACCTGCCTTGCATCCCAGTGGAGCAAAACAGCTTGGGCATTACATGCCAGCAAATGCAAAAAATGTGAATAAAATCTACAAGAGAGGGGCAAGAACAGTTTGGGGGTGAGGAAATACCAACTGAACACATCTTCTGCTTTCAGGCAGACATTATATCAGTAGCTAAATATTGCCTATGTGACCTACCATCAACTCCTAAACTTTCTTAAGAAACAAAGGATTTTTCTAACCTTTCTCCAGCTTTTGGAGCTCAAACTCAGTGATCATGCCTGGGAGCACTGTGACAGGCTACTGAGGAATCAGTGCAAGACAGGGCTGTTTAAAACCAAGATGAGCACTCTCAGTCTGCTTTGGGGGTGAAGTCACAGCTGAGAGGCTGGCTCCTCCATGGATAACTCAAAAAACTTGGATTAGAAACCAGCGTGTCCCAGCATAATCCCATAGATGCCCATGTTAGAACTGATAAGCCTTTCTTCTCATGTCTCTCCCTCCTTGGATACAGGAGTCAAGAGTGGCACCACATGGCCCAGCTAAAGGTAACAGCCATGTCTACAAATAAAACCTCTCAAGAGAGTGTTGCATCACTGGAGGTGGATATTGCATATTGTCAAGCATCAGTTCAGCCAGTAATAACCAAAAAATCACCTTACCAAAGAGGTCTTCAGTCTTTCCTCCCAGAGACACCACATCAGCAGCAGTAACACCAGGAGAGGGGTAGAGAGGTGGTTTTGTGCTGATGTTCAGTGGTGGCTCTGCCAGCCCTGGTGTATGTGTGTGGTATGCAGCAGCTGCCACTTCTGAGGGGCTGCCACTGGCCTGACCCAGGGTAGGTGATGTGTCAGAAACACCTACACTGCTGCTGGTCATCTCTGAGCAAGGGAAACCAGCTGGGTGACATGGGACCATGGTAGCCAGAGGTGTCCCAGGGGACAGCTCCAAGGCAGGTGGCTCAGCTTTGCCCCCAGTGTCTTGCCCAGCTGGAGCTGGCTCCACCAACATGTCATCTTCATTTTCTCTGCCCTTGCTGCCACTGTCCTTAAGGTTCCTTTCCAGCCTGGTTTCATCCTCACCATGCTCAGTCTGGTTAGCACCAGGCTGACCATCTTCCATGAGATCAGGAGAATGCTGGCCCACTTCTTCTGGGCTCATAATGTCAGGCTGGATCCTGCCACCAGCAGGCACAGCTGGTGGGGCTGGAGGAGCTGTCAGCATGGACAACAAACCTTTGGTCACCACTGTCGCCCAGCTCCTATTTTTAGAGGTCTCCTGGGGAGCTGTTATGGTATCACTTGAAGAGCCCACCGTTTCAGAGTCTCTGAATACATAATACTGTCCTCTAAAATACCTGTATTCATGGCTTCTGGAAGCACTCCCTGACAGAAACAACACCTGGACCTCAGTGGCTTGTGCAGCAAAGATCAGAGTGCCTTGGTTGTGGCAGGCAAACACCACTTTGGTTTCCACGCTTGACGAGACCCCCTGGAAGATGATCTTGTCCTGGTTGTTGCCACAGCCCTCGCTACCCTGGAACCCTTGGACATAGATGACAATGTGCTTCTGGGGGCCTGCCCAGATGGTCCAGTTGCACCAGATGTTGGGTTTAATGGCCGCGTGCAGCGGGAGGTAAAACAGACCAGACCCATTCTGGAAGATGAGGTGGCAGCTCCTGATGGGAAAGTACTCTGTTACCCAGGGAGGGCCCAGCTCTGACACATCTGGAACACAGAAAAGAAACATGCAATCAAAGGTTATTATATTCACAAATTATATTACATATTACATTTTATATTATGTCTCAGACTTTTAGGAGTGCTGCAAACTACCACGGGAGGGGCAGCATTTCAGACCCTCTTCTGCTGCAAGACTTCTGTAGTTTCAGCCCCTGGAGCCACATATCCACACTTCAGCTGGAGCTGAGCCTCTGTGAGAGGCTGCATGAAGCAGAATCAGTGCCAGCCAGCTCCAAGATGGACCCAGCACTGGGCAGGACAGTGAGGAATCCTCCCCTGAGAAGGAAGGAGTGGCTGAGACAAGGTATGATGAACTGACTGCGGTCCCATTCCCCTGCCCTTCCAGAGGCAGGGGAGGAGGTAGAGAAACCAGGAGTGAAGTTAAGCGTGGGAAGAAGGGAGGGATGAGGGGAAGCTGGTTTTAAGATTTGGGTTGATTTCTCATTATCCTACACTGATTTGATTGGTAAGAAATTAAACTGATTTCCCCAAGTCAGTTTTGCCCATGAAGGTAGACCGTCAGTGATCTCTCCCTGCCCTTATCTCGCGTCACAATCCTTTAATCACATTTTTTTCTCCCGTGTCCTGCTGAGGAGCAGCTTTGGAGGGCACCTGGTGTCCAGCCAGGGTCACCCCAGGCCAGTTCTCCCCAGACAACAGGTTATGATTGCCAGGTGGAGACCGGAGGTGAAAGGCACAGCCTTGTCCTTGCCCCCACCAAGTACTTTTGACTTCTAAAGATGACTTGTGCCAAGACACAAAGTGCTAGTTCACCTACCAGCATGTTTCCCTTGCTGTCCTGCTGGCATGCGGATGTTGCTGGGTACACCAGGGGGCTCCCACGGCTTTTGGTCTCTTGGCAGTGTTTCTCCCCACGGAGCTGCAGGCAGATCAGGGCGTGCAGGAGTGCTGCTGAAGGAGGCAGCTGTCCTCTGTCCCGCACCCACTTGCACAGCTTCTGTGGTCCCCTGCATTTTAAACCCCCTGAATCTGGAGACATAAGCTGGTTTGTCACTAGCAGCACCATCCTGATGCTGCACAGGCACCTCGTGCACCTCTCTGGTGTCCAGCAGGGAAGCTGGTGTCACCCCAGAGCCTCTGCTGACATGGCCCTTAGGCTGAGCAAGCCTCACATCAGACCCTGGGACAGTGACAAAGACTGGGAAGGGACTCCTGGCTATCAAGCCCACAGAGGCTGTGGTTTCACCTCCCTGTCCCAGCACCAACTTTTTCCTCCCAGGACCAAGGCATCTGGAGGACCCATCTGTGCCCAGTTCAGAGGCTACTGATAGATGGCAAGGCAGTGAAGGGGAGACCATCTCCTGTCCTCCTGGGCTAGCTGGGGAGATGTCCCTTTGCCTGAGACTGACAGGGTCCCAATCCAGAGCAGCTGGTGGAGAGGGCACCATGGGCAGAGACTCCATTTGTGGAGGAAGAGGTGCTTCAGGGACTAAATCCAGAGAGCCAAAGTCTGCAGGGACAGGTGCTGTGGAGGACGTCACCAGCACAGGGATGGTTTCTGTCCCCAGGGCAGGCACAGGTGTGAGAGGATGCTCCAGCCCTGTTGCCAAAGCAGATACAGCCAGCCCTGGTGCTGTGGGATGCAGCGCTGTTCTCCTCCTGACAGCTCCCCCAAAACTTCCCTGTGAGAAAATATCCATGAGCTTGGTATGACGGAGGCCAGTTGTGCCCAGCTCAGGTTTAGGCGTGGACAAACGCCCCAAAATGCTTTGGCTTCTCTCAGGAAGTAGCTGCAAATGGTCCCTGGTGACCACATCAGAGGGGCTCCTCAGGCTGGGCATCAGGCCCTTGGCAAGACCATCAGCTGGGACACTCAGCAGGGCCCGGCTTCCATCCTTCTCCAGGCTGGCTGTGCTGAGCTGGCTGTCCCTGGTGGGACCTGTGTCCTCCTGGCTTTTTCCTGTGCCAGGGGACAGAGGCTCAGAGCGACCCGTGCCTGTTGCTTGAATGGTGAACTGCAGGTGGCCCAGACCTTTTGGCATCAGGGTAGGGCTCAGGAGAGGCTGGCTGCTCTCCAGACTCACACCTGCTGGCTGCCAAAAAGGTTCCGCTCCCTGGAAGGCACCAAGCAAAGGAGTTTCCAAAAGTACCCTGTGCACAGGAGCAGAAGTCACAGCACTGCCCTCACTCACAGAGGGATTCTGCCCCCAGATGTCCTGAGCTGCAGTGGGGATTATTCCCTCAGGTGCTCCTATGCCTGGAGGCTCCAGCAGCTCAGACCCCAGCTCACAAGGAGCTTTTGTTTCCAGAGCTTGCGTCCTTGCACGTTCAGATGGGATAAGCTCTGTAGGACTTCCCACAGCCGTGGTGTCCAGAGGGATCTCTCTTCCCTGCATTTGCTCACTGCTTAACACGGTGGTGCTGCCACGTGTGGCTGCAAAGCCCAGTGCATCTCTAAGGTTCTCAACCCAGCCAGACTGAAAACCACCACCTTTCTTTGGCAGTTTTGAAGCAGAAGTTCCAGAAATCACATCATCTTTGGAGGAAGAGGCACCTTGCTGGTCTTGGAAGATGTAGTACTTCCCTCTAAATTTTGCATCTCTCTGGTTTGGCAAGTACCTCTTCAGCAGCATGACGTGGACAGCCTGAGCAAAGGTGGCAAAAACATGCATCTCCTTTTTCCAGCAGGCATAAACAACACTGTTTTCCACCAGGGAGGAGACCCCTTCAAAGAGAATTTTGTCCTCATTTTTGTTGCAAGCATCCTTAGTGATAAATCCCCGGATATAAATTATGATGTGCTTCCTGGAGCCTGCCCAGATTGTCCAGTTGCACCAAAAGCTTACAGGGAAATCGGCATGGAATGCTGGAGGAGAAAACTCGCCATATTTGTCCTTCAGCATTCTGTGGCAGCTTCTTATAGGCACATAGGCCAATAACCAAGGAGATTCCAGCTCTGGAAGATAAGAAGCAACAACCAAGTTTTCCCCCATTTCCACTTCCAAAGAAATAGTTACCATCTTCATTTCCAGAAATTATCTTCAGGATCTCTCTTCTCCCCATTTTGATACTTCCTGCTCCCATTTGCCAACCAACATGGAAACCCGTGCGTGGGAAAACATAGGAGTAAGCCCTTGGAAAGCTGGAGAAGCCCTGGCCACCCCCACCTCCTGCTCCATGGAGAGCCAGGCTGTGCCCCCACTGCCACAGCCCCAGAGCAGGGCACACTCCTGCTTTAAGCCCCCCCATGGCCATGCAGGAGCTCAGAGGTCCCAGGACAACCACACAGTGGGTGCCACTTGTCCCAGGGAGGCAGATTCTCCTCTGCAGGTCAGGCTGTCTAGGGACCAGGGCTAAAGGCTCAGGGAGCTGCCCCAGCTGGGTGAGTTAGGAAAGCAAAGAGAGCACTGCTACATTTGGTTTCAGCCTGTGGGCCAGGTTTGTTGTTCAAGCACATGCAGAGCTGGGAGACAAAGCTCTCCTGAAGGCATTTTCAATCTCTTTGGTTTAAAGGGCTCAGCCAAGCCAGAAGCCACTAGAGCCCAAACAACAGCATCTCCCCACAGCACTCAAAGTGGAAAGCAGCTTTCCTTAGGCAGGGAAAAGCAGCATTTTCCAAAACCACTTTCTCAAAGCCAGAAGAGTGGAAAGTTCAGGACAGGTTTACCCTACAGGAGCACACTTAAAGTTTGGGTTGAACTTTTGCCACTTGTTTTAATTGCTGCAGTGCTTTGCTGCTGCCTGCAGGACCTGCTCTGTGGCAGGGACTTGGCAGCCACAGGATAGTGGCACAGGTTATCTCCCACACCAGCACTGGTTTTTCCCTACCCCAGCACTGATCAACCACGTCCCACTCACTGTCCCCACCACCCCACAGCCAGATTGTCACTCCTGATTTTCCACACTACTTTTTGGTGGCTTAAAGTACCCAACAAGTTCTGGGGGAACAAAAAAAAAAAAAAAAAAAAAAAAAAAAAAAAACAAAAAAAAAAAAAAACCACAAAAAAAAAACCCTCAAAAAACCAAACATACTCACAAAAAAACCAAAACAAACTACCCAAAACCAAAAACCACCCAAACAAAAACCACTCAAAAACAAACAAACAAACAACCCCAAACAAAAAAACAAAAAAGAAAACCAGAGGTTGATCTGAGAACTAATTCTTACCTGGTTTAACCTTCCAATATTTCTGAGAGGATCCCATTGGCTATAAAAAAAAGAAGAGTCTAATTGCAGGCCCAAATACCAATTCCTAATGTTTATAACACTGCTCAGAGAAATGCCAACACCAGCCCAGTGGGAAGGGAGAACCAAACCCAGCCTGGTGGGTTGGGGTTTTGCCTGCACCTGGATGAGTCCCAAGGTCCCATCATTCATTCCATGCAATTATAAACCTTTTCTCCTCCCTACATCCAGAAGCACTGATTTGTGCTGTTGGACCACAACCAATACAAAAACCAGCCCCAAACCACAGCAAGCAAAGCCAGTCAGGCTTTAATCACTCAGGGCCATGCAGAAGAGAGGAGGATTTGCAAGCAGGCAGGACAGCACACCCAAGAGGGAAGTTTCCTACAGGAAACCCAGTCCCCACTGCCCCTCACTCACCCCTGCAGCAGCAGCAGCATCACAGCAGGGCCTCAGCATCACCCCAGGACCCTGCCCAGCAGGGCCTGGCCCCAGCACCCAGGGCATCAAGAGCAGGGCCAGAATAAATGGGGAGGGCAAAGGCCTCATGGCAAAGGTTTACCAGAGGCACAACATCAAATAAGACTAAAAAAAAACCAAAAAATCCAAATCCAAAAAACCAACAAAACATACAAAAAAAAACTCCCTGTCTCTTCCCAGAATAATCCCCCAGGCAGAAAAAAATAAAAAAAAAAACAAACCCAAAAAACCAACAAAACACACAAAAAAACTCCCTGCCTCTTCTCAGAATAATCCCTCAGGCAGAGCAAATGTGGGGTCACCACCTTCCCCAGACCCTCTCCAAAACACATTCCTACAGCAAAGGGGCTAGCAGGACAGCACACTCACTCATATAGGGCCCTGCTTCACCAGTGCAAGCAATTAGCTAATAGCAATTAGCTAATCAATGAAATGAGGCTAGCTATAGCTTGTTAGGGACAGAGTTGTCCTTTCAGTTTGCTGCTCAAGTGTTGTTTCTGTGCTGGGTATTTGGATAAAAAACTTTTTTCAATTTATAACACATAATATTCTAACCTGAAATTAAAGTGGTGCTGATACCCCAATGTGACACAGAAGCAGAGCCCAAGTTGCTTTTTGTCTTATATAAGAAAAAAATATTCAACTATTAGAGTGGGGAAAAAAAGAGTCCTAATGTAAAAGTGAGTGTTTTCATCACAACATTTTAACCAGCTTCTGCTGAAGGCTGTGATTTCCTCTAGGACAGCACCATCCTGACACAGGTCTGAGTGAAACTGGTGAAACTGCCTCGGAACACAAGCAGCTCCTCTCCTCATCTACATTTACTGAAGTGTGGAAAGCAAATAGCCCAGGTGATGATGTATAAATTATTTGATGCTTAAAATTCTTTCAGCTGTAAGAGTCTAACTTGTCATTAGGAGCCACACAGATTAGGCAATTAGGCTGTTTGACATACAGCTTTGACAATGTTGCTTTTAAAATGTCAATCATCATTTAGTAAAATAATTTTTTTTTCCATTCCAGCTCATCACAGCCTGACAGGATGATGGATGTTCAGGGACAAACAGGGATGTTCAGGGACAAACACCCCCAGGGGTTTTTTGGGGGTCAAATCAAGCAGTTCATCAGACTGTCCCAGCTGGCTGGGTTTTCAGTTGTATTGGAGCAAGCCACTGCATCCCAGCTCACAATTTTTAAGCTTTTCCATCCACCCCATTGCAGTCCCAATGACCAAAAGGCCAGTGAGAGCCTGTACCTCTCCCACAAGCACCTGCCCATAACTACACATGTTCAAAGTGACCCCAAACCCCCTCCTGCTGTCCAGGTGTGGACAGACCTGCAAAACCCCTTTCCCACTTACCACAGAAAGAGAGAATCTTGGAAAATCACTCTGAAAGGATGGAGTCCAGCCATGAACCAAACACTGCCTGGCCCAACACGGAGCCATGCCCCTGAGCACCACATCTACAGGACTGAAACCCTTCCAGGTGTGGAGCCTTTGTCCTTATGGGGGACTAAACTTGCCAGATGTTGGCTGGAAACACCGCACAGCTGGCACAAAGGGGTTCACAAGGTTCCTGCAACATCTGGATGATGATTTCATGGTACAGGTACTCAGACGCCCTCCTTGATTCGCTGCTTGCTCACAGAGAGGGTCTCATGAGTGAAAGGGGCATTGGTGGCTGTCTTGGCCACAGTGATCACAAAACCATTGAGTTTAAAAATCTATGTTGACAAGGAGGAAAAGTGCCAGCAAAACTTCAACCCTGGACATGACTTCAGGCTGCTCAGGGAAGTAGAGGGTAAGGTTCTCTGGGAAAGTGCTTTTACAGGCACTGGTGTCCATCAGTGCTGGTCACTTTTTAAGCATCACCTTCTAAGGGCACAGGAACAGGCAATTCCCCAAATGTCAGAAGTCAAGCAGACAAGATAAAAAGCTGGATTGGCTGAGCAGGGATCTATTTCTGGAAGTATGGCAAAAA